TGAGCTCATAACATTTGTCCTTTGTGTGACCTTGGCGTTTACAGTGATCACAGTAAGGTCTGTTTCGCCTAGAAGTATGAGTTTGAGGTTTGGAAGCAACATGGAAAGCTGCAGCATCAAGAGCCAATGATCCTCTCAAGGAAATAATTAATTGGTGTCACTCCTCCTAGATAACTAAGGCATAGATTCAATTGAGAGGTGGTATGGGATCGGATCCAAGAATCTGTGAGCGAAGGATGTTGAAGGAATCTTTCAATCCCATGAGGAATTGATGAATCTTCCTCCTTTCCCAATCGGCCAGAAAGAATTTCATAGCGCCACAGTTCAGACCACAAGTACATTCAGGTAAGTCGGTGAGTGTTGCTAGCTCGTCCCAGAGAATTTTCAATCTTGTAAAGTATGCACTACAGAGAGATCTCCTTGCTGAAGCAAGTCAAGATCTCGCTCAAGTTAATAAATGCGTGGAACATCACTTTAGCCAAACCTTCTTGCAACTCACGCCAGATGAAGGCTATGCTGCAGTGGATTTCCTTTGCTACTGAGTTTAAGATCCAAGAAATGACTATTGAGTTACATTTGTCCCAAATCTCTTCTTCCGATGAGGATGATAGTGGTCGTGGCAATGAACCATCGACGAACTTTCATTTGTTCTTAGCTCGAAGTCCGGTCTTCATTGCTTGTTGCTAGTGTGAAAATTATCACGGTAAATAGATTAGAGACAAGAATCAATCCCGGATTATCAGATGGATGGAGATAGAATGGCGAGCATGTTGGATCCGTTCTGGCTTCCATGGACAAATTTTGACGCAGGACGCTTGATTCTTGCTCCGACGCCATTAGTGAGTTCTGATATAGAGGAAAAAAAAGAAAACAGGGGAGACAGAAGGTAGACGAAAGCGCAGATCAGGAAAGATCTGTCTCTGAAACCATGCGCAAAGAAAATATTTTATTTCTGTATATATATACAAGGCTAACTGATTTTGGACAAACGGATGATTTTGGACAAACGGATGATTTTGGCTAACATCATCCGCTTGTAAAACTTCTGAACGAAAACCCCATGAATCACCCTCTCACCGTGTCGACATCCGTTGGGTCACCTTCGGCAGCTCCGTAGCCAAACCGATGTGCAATGTGTCAGGATCACATTCTGTGGTTTACATCGGTACCCGGTGCAGCACGACTGTACCTTCGATTTCAAGGCATTAGGGAGGAAGGCCATCCCTAAAGCGAGCCCCGTCGGCAAAGCCGTGAAGCTCGATAAGATTTGATCTGACACCATACGGTTTGATCTGGATCGTGGATTTGTTCGATCGATGGTGAATGGGGGAGGATCAGGGGTCAGGGATTGTTCGTGAAGCGGAGGTACCGCTAAGGGTGGGTGCGATTGTCGGCGTCTGGTAATTGGTCGTGTGATGACACCGGTGAGTAGTGGTGGTTGAATTTGAGCAAGCCTATAAAAAATAAAAAATGCGAAAAAAACTGAGGAATTATTGTTTTATAGATCTTACTATTAATGATAATCTGTGGTTGTTCGGTGGAAGCTTCCTTCACCTATCCATTAGTGGCTAGGGCTCTGCAAGATTTCGTTGTGGGTGCTGTTGTAATGCGGAGATGGTTTTCATCGTACAGATGAGTTTTTGTTGATGTTAATAGAAGGAAAGGATGAACTTTCTTAATCCAAGGAAAAAAGAAAATAGCAAAGAAAAATTGTGAATGAGTGAAGGGAAGGAAGACATTGGAGAGAGGAGGTAAATATTTTAATTATTGGGTTACGCCTCAAATCGACGGAGACAGTGGTGCTGGGTTTCTTCATTCGTAACCTTGACCAGGAGAGCCAGCGTTTTCTTCTTTGGCCACCAAAGCCGCTTTTAGTTTCATATGGTTTCATTTCATCGGTGTCCAGGTCTCAGCCTTAGAACCCAAAGCAACACGAGTTCCTCTGTTTGTCTAATGAGTCTTAGTAAAATTATATATAAAATCATATATAAAAGAGTAAAATAGGTATTTAAAAAATAAAGTAATATTTTTCGTGTGGTTTTAGGAACAGAAGGGAGGTTTGTGTTGAGCTTTTCAAAAGTTTAGGGAAGGTTTTTCTTAAAGTAAAACTTGAGGTGAGGTTTTGTGATTGTTAGAAATTTTAGGGGAGATTTTTGTATTTTACCCTTTATTTTTATTTTAAGGATATAGCATATAAGGGCAACTTTTGGGCCCTAATATCAGTAAAAGTAATATTTAAAAAAAATTAATTAAAAAATAGGGTAACTTTTGAAAAATAATATCAATAAAGGTCAGAATCACTGTTCATCTTCTTCCTCTTGTAGTCTATTCACCAGTATCGCCACCCGCCGCCGCCGTCTCTACCTCCGCCCACTTCCGGCAATGTTGCCGGAGGCGGAGGCGGAGGCGGAGGTGGGTGGAGACAGGCGGAGGCATTGCCGGAGGCGACGGCAGACGGCGGCGGGCAACAACACTAGTGAATAGATTGCAAGAAGAAGAGGATGAACAATGATTCTGCCCTTTATTGATATTATTTTTCAAAAGTTACCATATTTTTGAAAATTTTTTAAAAATATTACTTTTACTGATATTAGGGCCCAAAATTTCCCTTATATGCTATTATCCCTTTATTTTATTTTGATCAAATTTATTTGAATGGGCATTAGGGTCAAAATTGTTATTTTCACTTTCATTTCATCATGTTAATTAAGTAAATCAATTGCAAACTATAGGGGTGTTTAATAAAATACAAACTATAGGTTAGATTTTAATAAGGCCATAAAACTATAGGGTGTTGCGAATCTACTACCCACAGTGTTCCCACATTCCTATACACAAAGTGTCCCCACAATGTGTCATGTAATCTCAAAGCAAACCATCTTTTTTCCTTTCCTCTCTCTCTCCCTCTCTCTCTCTTTGTGGAGGGGGTGGGGGGGGGGTAAAATCCTATAAAAAAAAAAAACTCTAGTGAGAGATTCTTCAAATCATAATCTTCCAACTTGCAGAACTTGTCCGATCTCTTTATCTCAGCCTGTATTACTATTTTCCAACTTAAAAGCAATAGAGCCCCTAAAAAAGTCCAAATTTACTTGGCCCATAAACCTCTAACCCTTAATCCCTTGAAATTGTGTCAACCTCTAACCCTAATTCTTGAAACTCCAGACAATAACTATTACAGCCCTTGTCTCCTCTAAAGATTCCGTGTCAACACCCCACCAGACATGAGCATTATGTCCACTATTCTTGAATTGATCAACCACAACATCCAAGACTAAATGACAACAAAAGACAACAGAGGTCAGATTTCACCATTAGAGGACATGGGTCTCCAACAAATGCAGTCCAATGTCTCTTATAACTTCTACCTTACCCATCTTCTTCCACTATTAAACTGAGGAACTACTTGTTGTAAAACATGGTCACAAGAAGAAAAGGCATTCAGTGACCCCAAAACCGTGCTTCTTCTCTTGTTACCTCTTACAATCAAGTGAACCTCCATCATGGCCCTCAATAAAATCTTGAGCTTTGAACTTTACCACTCCAAATGAGGTTGGAACTAACCGCAAATTTTTTCCCAACATGAGCTCCAAACCAAAATACTTGCACAATCCAACTCACCTTGTATTTCCTCTATGTGCATGGGAGGTAATCATAGTTCTTATAATTCCCCATTTAACATTGTTGGAGTGAAAAAGTTTTTAACAAATTCCCATGCAGGATAATTCACTCAATCGAGAGATTGAATTTTATTCCTTTGGGTAAGGCCCATTAAGGGAATCATATGGATTATTCCCCTTAATTACATTTATACAAGAAAGTAGAGAACACCTTTTGATTATGACTTAGAGAAATGAATGCATAAGACAAAAGAACTTTTCATTTGCATTCTTTTATATATTCTAAGTTTACGAGAATGAGAAAATAAAAGAAATACAATTGAGAAACTCCACAACAATACATTTCTCTCTTTCTTTTCTTTTTGATACAAAGAAGATTTCCTTCTCACTTTTTCTTCACAATAATTTGTAGTCAATCAAACAAAATTCTAACTATAGACAGCCTTAATCTTTTGGATTTTATATATGAAAAGGGAACTGTAGTTAGTCAAATTGATTATTTGATTATAGACAGTTTTCTGTATCCTTTTGTTCTTCATTTTTAATTGAAGGGAACCATAATCAACCCTTGGGAACAAGACTCTAGATGGTGTAATCCCTAACCTTTCTTTATAGAGGGACCATAATCAACCACCTAGTTGTAGTGGTTTCTTTCCCTCTATTTCCTTTTATAGTAGTAAAACAAAAGAGAGAGGAAGAAGGATATATATTAGAAGACACATATAGGAAATATTTGCAAAGAGGACTTTCCTCTTACCTACTTGTATTAGTGAGATTTCTTTCACTCTTCCCTCTCTTCCCCTAAGGACTTCTCTCTTCTAATGATGATGATGATGATGAATTCTCTTCTTTATCTTGGCTTTTCTTAGGAATTTCTATGAGTGGACACAAATCACACAATTTTCACTAAGGAGCCCCTTTTACTTTCCCCTTGGAGCTTAAATAGGAAGTGGGGTAGTTGTCCCCCTAGGTGAAGGACACCTGTCCTTCCTACTTAAAGAGAGGGAGCTCCAGTACAGGACACCTTATTTAATTGGGGTCAACTATGATATGGAAAAGATATGATATTTGAAAAAAGTCTGACCAGTCAACTAGAATCATACACGTGGTAGCCAATAGGTGTTATTCATCAAAATCCATGGGTGGGTTTTGATTGGTCAAAACTCTTTCCATACCATTGTCTTTCCCGCATCATAGATTTTTCCTATTTAATTTTGATGATTTAGCTAGCATATTAGAGAACCCATTTATTTGGGTTATACTGTTTAAATATTATTTGGATTAAAAAAAAAAAAGTCCTTCAACAAACATTGAAATAAATAAGACTAAAATGCAATGGTATGAAAAATAAAACTTCCGGAGCTCATTAATCTGGCACAAATAAGACTAGCATCATCTTGATGTGAATAATAATAATGCTAATAATAACCACCTGTTTGATGTGCTACTTTCTTTCTTCCATCCAATTGTCATTATATATATATAATGCCAGTTATAGCCTGGTGATATATACAATGTCGACTTGTTGAGGAGAATTAAATCTCCAATACAAGGCTACAAATTTGTGGAATTGAACCCGCTCCCATGTACATGTTCCACCTAGATAATATGCTATACTGTCACAATGGAGCAAGTATACCACACTTTTGCATGCCAAATACAAATAATCTAGACCAAATGTTCGGTACAGTTGCTCTAAAAAAGCATGCTTCTCTCTTGGCAACTCCTTAAGCATCACTGTCTTCCTCAAATGAGTAAAAGCTCTCTTCGTAGATTACTCCCATTGTCACCAGTAATCATTGCAGGAACATTCACCATTTCTGAAATGATGGAAACGGTTCCTATCCCTCACAAATATTTCACGATTAAAAACCTTTGAAATGAATTTAGTTGCATTGTGGCAATCTTTACAAACCCGCAAATTTTTTGAGATACGGATTGTTACTCCAGGTTTGGTTTTCAGCAAACCAAAGGCAATTGCAAGCTTCTCACTGTGGTAGTACAATGGATGTTCTTTCTCCTCCTCCTCAATATCATGCAATACTCCATCAGTGTCAGGCAAGTAGCCTGCAGGCCTTATGCTTTCCAGCATCTGATCTACTTTGTCATAGATTTCTTTAGCCTGGGGATGACCCCTGCCTCCAGCAATGAACTCATTGACAACGCCATCCATTTCAATCACTGAAAAGCCAGGGACCTTCTTCACACCCCTATCATTCATCAACCTTCTAACAGTAGCAACATCATCCCATCTACCAGCTTCTGCATATAGGTTAGCTAACAACACATAGCGTCCACTATTATGAGGCTCCAGTTCAATAACTTGTTTCCCTATTTTCTCTCCCAGCTCAATTTCTCGGTGAATCCTGCAGGCTCCAAGAAGGGCTCCCAAGACACCTGCATCAGGACTCATAGGCATCTCATCTATAAGATTTCTTGCTTCCTCTAACAGACCTGCTCTACCAAGAAGATCTACTATGCACCCAAAATGCTCCATCTTGGGCTCAATACCATAAACTTCGGTCATGTAACGGAAGTAATAGCGTCCTTCTTTGACCAAACCAGCATGGGCACATGCACTAAGAAGATTGACAAAAGTGATGTTATCTGGGGCTACGACCTCCTTCTCCATTTCCTTAAATAGTTGAATTGCAGCCTCTCCTTGCCCATGCATTGCTAGGCCTCCAATCATGCAATTCCATGAAGAAATACCTCTCTGGGACAATCCACCGAAGACTTCGATTGCCTTCTCCAAGAAACCACATTTGCAATACATGTCAATGACTGTTGTAGCAAGCTTTGAATCCATTTCAATCCCTCTGCTTTCAATATACCCATGTATCCATTCTCCTCGCTCAAGAGCTCCTAGACCTGTGCAAGCCGATAACATGCTTGCCGCCACAAACTTATCCAATTCCACTTTCTCTGCTCGCATCCTATCAAACACAGCAAATGCCTCATGGAAACGGTTACTTTGAACGTAAGCGGCAATCATGGCATTCCAAGACACAGAATTCCTCTCAGGCATCAAGCTGAAAACTTTATAAGCCTGGTCAACAAATCCCAGTCGAGAATACCCGGTAATTAAAGTTATCCAAGAGACAACATCCGGTTGATGAATCTTATCAAAAACTCTTTGTGCTTCTCCCAGACGCCCAAAATTCGCGTACATATGAATTAGATTGTTCTGAGAGACGAGATCCTCCCCAAACCCGAATTTCAAAACATGGGCATGAATTTGTTTTCCTTCTTCTGTCGCATTATCCATGCAGCAAGCTCTGAGGATTGATGGAAAGGTGAACCGGTTGGGCGCCACGGAATCTTGTAACATACGGAAATAGAAGAAAATGCAATTTCTTGTTAGTTGAGCTTCCAAGTAACCTCTAATAATGGTATTGTAAATGAAGGCATCTGGGTGGGGAAGCTTATCGAACACTTTCAGGGCGTAATTCAAGTCCCCTGATTCAGAGATCGCACAAAACTTGATTATTCGGCCCATGGCATCATTGTCCGTCGAAAGGCCGAGTCGGATGATTTGAGAGTGAAATTGCTTCAGCTGAGCCATGGTTGAGCAGAATTCGACGCAATGGAAGGTGGGCCGCTGGGTTCTCGGCAATCCAAGAGAGGGCGGCGGATCTTGGGGTAGCACAAGAGAGGTCATTGCATTAGGCCGTTAGCCGATAGAGCCGTGGGACTGGGAGTTCTATTGCTTGGCTGATAGTTCGTTCTTCGTTGCTTAATAACGGACAGAGAGTAGAATGGTTCGACCGGGTAAGTTGGCCTAACCGAACCTGCTATTATCTTTTTCTTTTTGCCTGAGCAACTGATATAACAAATTCTCAAAAAAAGTAAGAAAATTGAAAAGAAAAAGGATATTGTTCGCATGAAATTCCAGTTCAGTAGACAACATGGGGCTGACATGGATGAGAGACATGTCCACGTAGGATCCTTGTAGTTGGTTTGGACTTCAACCGATGTTTGTGACCTATTGCTGTCCAAGCTGGTCAAACTGTTCGACCCATCAATTGAAATAGATGGGTTTATTTAGAGTTCACATCTCCGCCTCACAAGGGTGTCAATGGACCGGTTTTGGATTGGACCCCGTCCAGTCCAAAATCAATTTGAATGAATTGGACCGACCAACAAGACATATTGGGTTAGATCAATCCAGTCCAAAATATTTATTAGATTGGATTGGACTTGGTCTATCCGTAACAAATTTATATTGGATTGGGTTGGATAAGCCAATATCTGATCCATTGATATAAGATAAGAATATATATAGCAATGGACCGGGTTATAGTTAAAACCAATCTAAATCAAAATGAAGTTGAATAGATTGAACGCTTCAAACATTGAATTGGACCGGTCCAAATTGGTCCAAAACATTCATTGGATTGGATTGGACTTAGTCTCATTTATAATGGACTCACATTGGACTGGATTGGATTTGACCAAATCCAGTCCACTTGACACCCCTACCCACAAGGGGTCACCCCACAATGTCCCACAGCATATCGCTACCGTGTATGGGGAACATCTCCTGATGATAGTACCATAAATGATGATGTCATCATTGAGAGATGTTCCCAATACACGGCAGGGATATATTGTGGGGCGGAGAAGTGAACTCGTTTATTTAGAGTTGCAAGTCGGGTTGTTTGGCTGGAAGAATTTAACTACATGGTCTTGGGTTAGGGTTTAGGCCCATTGAAACCAACCAGGTCCAAATTGGAACTCCTAGCTCCATTTTACTCCAAACCTAGAAATACAGAAATGCCTATACCAATACCAATGAACCATTCAAATGTTTATTGACCAGTAAATGGTTGTAGATAGAAATTTCAAATTACAATAACTATTATTATTATTATTATTAAGACAAATTTCTTAAGCTATTCCTACAATTTAATTAATTGACTAATTATACCCTTACTGTTTAACTATTGCCTTATACCATCCTATTTTTGACAATTGACTAAAATCTCTCTTACTCCATTATGCATAATTTACATGTGACCTTACATGACTATTATATTTTCAGAAAATCTCTAATTATGGTAAAAAATGCCCTTTTCAATTTGCCCTCTCTGAAGCCCGTAGCCGGTGAAGTATCCCAACTCTATTCTTCTCTTTCGTCTAATCATATTTTCCATTATGTTTCAGGATGGACATGAGCCCGAAGTAATACTAGGCGTTGGCGGTGGTGTTTTAGGTGCGGGGAGATTTTGCCCAAAAATATTCTCCGTTACGAAATTTATGCGTCTCAAGCTTATATATCGTCGGATATACCCAAGATGAAGGCATTGCTGGAGAATTCTCCCTCATCAAGACCAGCATGCATCTTGACTGTTATGGCATCAACCCCTTGTCTGAGCTTCCCAATCGGCATTGCACACTTTTCTTCAAATTCCCTAAGGATAGCCATCACGAAAGCCCAACAACCAGAGCATCACATCTAATGGAGAGCGAAAAGAGCTGCCGCAGCACAAACAATTGCAACACATATCACCGCAGCTCTAGGTTCAACAGAGGGTTGTCAATGCACAGTTAAAAGTGGTGTGAGGCTAGTTCCACGAAGAGAAAATCCCAATCAAAAGTTCAAACAGGGACGCGCCACATCCATTCAACATCGTAGGATCTTACTAGGTTGAACAGTGCAACCAGGACGTCGAGAACAAGCTTAGAGTTCTCTTTCGTGAAATTCAAAGAAGTAATTATTTTCTTTGGTGAAGAAGCAGAATCGTCGGGTGGAAGGAGGCAACTTTAGAGTTCTCTTTGGTGCAGTCGCATACAATCATACCTTCGCCGAACGAATTTACCACATTCTACCTTGATGCAGATAACCAGAGGACAGATGTTAATTACAACCAATTATGGCGACACCAAACCTCTTATGGAATAGGACACAAATTTAATTCAGGCGGCATGATTTGAAGTTCAACCTATCTTGCTCTCAGAGTAGAGACTTAATTCGATATCTTCAATCATGTTGAACATGTTGGACATATTGCACATTGCACTTGTTTCGCATGCAGAAACTACAGAACAACTAAGGCTCAGGAAGTATCTCTAAATCTTTACGATATTTGTTTCGTTGCATGTTCTACTTATTATTTGCTCTTTACTATTATAACTAGATTGTCTGCTTTAGATAGATAGTTGGTCTTCGTTGCTTGTTTTAGTTACCTTTTATTTCTTTTCTTCCTCTCTATCCCATTCTTGCTTCTTTTCTTGTCTTCTTTCTACCTCCTGTTCGCTCCTGTGTTCTTTCTCCTTTTCATCATGGATAATATCGAAGCTCTCAACTTGGCCTTTCAAAACATGCTCCAAGGTAATGGTCCATGAAATATAGAATTTGTTAATATTCAACCTCTGATCCCTCCTAGTGTTCATGAAGCTTGAAACCTTTCCTTAATCTATCACTTATTTCCTAGACTTACCGATCAATTTGAAGAAGCCGTTCATGGCCTTCATGATTTCTGGAACCTTAATTTGGATAAATTACTTTTAACCCATTTCATAGAGGTTACTTTCATTTAAACTTGAAGAGGATTATACTCGAATCCATAACAATGGTCCTTGGACTCTCAACGGTAAGTGGATCTTAATGGAACCTTGGGTCCTAGATAGGCCCCAGTATTCTTGGAATATACAGCAAATTGAGATTTGGGTCCAACTTCACAATTTACCCTTTGAAACTCTCTCTATAGATGTTGGTTATCCTTTGTTTGAACGTTTAGGACCCACTAGGTTCATTTCATTGTACAAAATTTCATCCGTGCTAAGGTCACCACTTTAGTTGATAGACCTCTGAAAGTTGGTTGTTTTGTCAGTATTCATCAATGGGTAACTTACCGTTAGGGGTGGTTCGAGCCGAGCCGAGCTGAATTTAAAATCAAATTCTCTCTAAATTTCAACAAGCCTCTAGTCAATTAATAAATTTTGAAAATTTTGGAGTCTATTATAGTAAAAATATCCATCATCGACATCAATGCATGATCAAAAGACAACTTCATATAGACTCCCTCAATCAGCACTCTAAATATCTAGGCATTCCTTTTCTTTGGTCCCAAAAGAGACATGCCCAACTTAACTATATCCTGGATAATATGAAAGCTAAGTTAAATAATTGGAGAGCTTCTGCTATCAGTCAAGCTAGTAAAAAGATTTTGATTCAATCAGTTCTTCAAGCCCTATATATTCATTCAATTCTCCCAGAAAACTATACATCAAAGGAACAAAACAGTTAAAAACCTCTGGTGGAATACCTCATAATCTTGAAAACATCCTTACTGGTGGGGCTCTTGGAATACTTTGTTATTATCAAAAGCTTTTGGTGCTTTAGGTTTTAAAAACCTCACTCTGGTAAATCATGCTATTCTCAAGAAAATTGCCTAGAAATTCTTGAATGAACAGCATAAAATCTGGGCACAAATTTGGAAATCCAAATATCTCAAGCCAGAGAATATAATTCCTTACATCACTCCCTCAACCGCTTCCATTTGATGGAAATCTATCTGCCCAAAAATTAGAGAATTAGCATCTGAAACAAGATATCTAGTCAATGAAAATTCCGATTTCCTAATCTCTAACTTTCCTTGGATTCCAAAAAAAATAAAAAATTCCACTAGATTACCTTTCCCATTTCTCCTCACCTGAGAAATCTTAATATGCCATCCCTCATTTCTGAAGGTTAGTGGAATTCTCTTGTAATTCATCAAAACATCACAAGAGAAGAGGCTATGGAAATTTTACAGACCCCTATTTTTCCAATCAATAATAATCTACACTGGATTTGGACACAACATCATTCTGGAATATATACAAGTGAAGAATACAAAATTAAAGAGAAAATTGCTATTCCTCAACTTTCAAATGACTTTAAATTCTGTTTATCCAAAATTTGGAAATTAACGGTTCCTTCTCGGTATCAACTTTTTATATGACGAGTTCTAAATAACTCTCTTCCAGTAAAAGCTTCTCTCTTTTCAAAATCTACTGATAAGGTGGGCATTCTTTGTGGTCAGTCTGAAGATACTACTGCTCATCTTTTTTTTAATTGCCCTTTTGCTCGAGCAGTTTTATTTGGTAATCCTTGGAATCTTAACTTAATCATTACCTCTCAGCAATCTTGGACTACCTACTTTATAAATCTTTATAATGAAATTGTTGATAATCAACTTTTTCTCCAAGTTTTAAATTGGATTACAGTTGCCAGCTATTATGTTTGGTATGCAAGGAATAGAAAGATTTTGAAAATAAACAGATTCTTCCCTTTCAAATCATTTCTATAGTCAAAAGAATCTTTCAAAATTCCTCACAAGTTTCATCACTAGAAAATCTGTTGCACTCTCCCTCTCACAGTAATATTTTAAATCTGTCTATCAATTGTACTACTGAATTAATCATTTTTACTGATGCAGGCAAAATTTTTGTTTCTTCCTTTACATTCGGTATTGTGATTTTAAATGCAAACCTTCAATGTTTAAAAATCATCAGAAGTCGAACATCTCATCCTTCTGCTATTGATCAAGCAGAACTCTTTGCTATTTTGCAGGTTTTTTTGGAATTACAACAATGAAGGCAAAAACAAATTTGAATTTGTTCTAATAATCTACAAGTTATACAGGCTCTGCACAAGGACTCTCCCCTACATTGGTTCTGCTACTGGCTTTTGCTAAGAACCAAGAATTTAATTTCCCTGTTAAACCTCCATGTTACTTTCCAATATGTAAACAAAACTTTCAATATACCAACTCACAAAGTGTACCAACAGGCAAAAAT